AAGGACTGGCATTGGTACTCAACTGAGGATCCTGGCGCATACACTGGTAATGGGAATGAGGTAATGTCTCCATTGTCAATGGGTGGAGGGGGCCCACATTTTCCTTTAGAGTCTAAAAAATATGATTTGATTATTGAAAGACCAAGAAAAACATAGGTTAAAATAAAGCAAATAAAAGTATAGCACAATACGTAATATCAAGACTTGTGATTTCTGATGACAGAAATTATTTGTTGAAGAAATTTTAAACATTTGAACTCAGAGTCACATTTGTAAGCCCTTACTTTCACCCCGCATGAAATTACACATAAAGTATGAACAACTACGTCTGTTTCGCAGTACCCCAGTAATAAAAAATGTTTTTGTTAGTGAATATATACTGAACATTGGGCTAGCTAAGACAAACAAAAATGTTCCTGTTCCTATATACAACATACTGCAGTGTCTGTTGGATCTCTAGTCAATTTTTATTGCTTTACATTTTTACTGTAAAAGAAACATCACTCCTTTAGTAGAATTCAAGAATTACAAATTTACATATTGTGAAAGGGAATTGCTGGCTTCCTGTTCTGGACAAGATGAGGTAGAAACCTTTTTGTTTATTCTTTCTGTTAAGTATAACTAAAAATCCTGAACATATAAAAAGCAACAGAAGAGATTGTGAAAGTTGTAGAGAAGAAGTCCATCTGGTTAGAGACTTTGGGATTCAAGGAATTAAGGTGCAATGATTTGTCGTGGTTTTCATTTTGTCTTCTAAGTATCCTGGACTGAGCACTGAAGAAGATTGTAACCCAGAAATGATATCAAGATTAGGCAGAAAAGAAGAAAAATTCCCAAGAAGAGCCTGCTCTCTTTAGACAAAGACCCAGGAAAGGAGCAGCCTCGCAAGACAGAAACATTTTCTACAATAGCCAACTTACTCTAGAAAAACATCATAGAAGAAATCTACGACCAATCTTCCCCCCACTTCAATCAAGAGAGGCCAAGTGAGGAGCCTGGACTTCTACCCACACTCTGAGGGATCAAGACACCCCTCCCCTTTTCTGTGGTGTCAGTGGAGGCAGAATGGGAAGCCTGGACTTGCACACTGCCTGGCAGTAAGGGAGGCCTGATAAATAAAAGATTCCAATAAAATCCAGAGTCTCAAAACATAATACACAAAAGGTCCAGAATACAACTGAAAATCACTCATCATACCGAGGACTGGGAAAATCTCAAAAGAGAAAAGACGATCAACAGAAGACAACATTGAGATGATACAGAGGTTGGAATTATTTGACAATGGTTTTAAAAATCCAATGGGAATCACAGAACTAAAAAACATAACAGAATAAAATAATCTCACTGGAGGGGCTCAATAACAGATTGCAGATAACAGAAGGACAAATCAACTTGAAGATAGAGCAATACAAATCACTCACTTTGAAAATAGACTGACAACAAAAAAATAGACAGATCTTCAGGGACCTGTGGGAAGATAGCAAAAGACTGGAGACTCAGGAAGACAAAAGAAGGGGGTTGGAGATGAGGAAAAAAACTCGCAAAATAATGGCTTAAAATTTCCCAAATTGGGCATAAGGCATATATCTACATATTTTAAAAAGTGAGTGAATACCAAACAGGATAAACCGAAGAAATTCATGCCAAGATACATAATAATCAAACTGCTCAACACTCAAGAGAAAGAAAAAAATCTCAAAAGCAGCTAGATAGAAATTATGTAAGGTTATAGGGAAAAAAGGATTCGAACGTCAGTGTGGTTCTCATCTGTGACCAAGGAGCCAGAAAGTGACAACATTTTTCAGGTGCTGGAAGAAAAAAACTGTCAACTCCAATTCCATATCTGGTGACATTATCCTTTAGGAATAAAGGGAGAAATGAAGACATTCCCAGACAAAGGAAAACGGAGAATTGTTCTCCAGCAGACCTGTGCTTAAAGAATTGCTACAGACATTTTTCAAATCAATGGAAAAGATAACAGAAGGATGATTGACACTTCAGAAAGGAAGATAAAACAAGGGAAGTGATAAAAATAGGGGCAAATGTAATAGACTTTTTCCTAATGAGTTTGTTAAATTTGGGTGCAAAATTATATTATTTGATAAGATGCTCTATGTACATAGAGGAAATACCTAAGACATTTATGTTTAAAATGTGGGGAGATTAAACAGACCTAAATGGATGGAAAGTTTCCACACTTTGTTTGAAGTGGTAAAATGTCAATTTTAGGTAAAATGTCAATACCATTAGGGAGTGACAAGCTGCATATATCTTCACACCTAGAGCAACCCCTAATAACTCTGTACAAAGAGACAACTCGACAATAATACAGATATTTTAAAATAAAGTGATTTTAAATGTTCAAACAAGCTACAGGGAAGGCAAGAAAAGGAAACAGGAATGAAAAACAAAGGAAACACACACACACACAAATAATAAAATGGCTGACATAGCCCCTAACATGGCAATAGTTACTTTAAAAGCTAAATGTTCTAAATGCACCAGTTAAAAGACTGAAAATGGCAGGATGGACACAGAAACAAGACCCAGCTATATGCTTCCTACAAGAAACTCACTTCAAACACGAAAACATAGGTAGGCTCAAAGCAAAAGATTGGAAAAAATGTATACCGATTTCAATTTCAAAACAATTTGAAAAACTAGAAGTGGCTAATATAACATCTCCTTTGTTGGCTCCTCTTATTTCTTGACCTCGAAATACTGGAGTGTCCCATGACCAAGTTCTCAGACTACTTTTTTTTATTTATACACGAATTCCCTGGATGAGCTCAGCTAGTAACATACCTTTAAATATAATCCATATGCTAAAGAAGTGCAAATTTACATCACATGCTATGATTCCCACCCCTGTCCCACTGCCTAGTCCATGTCGTAAAGTAAAACTTCACAGGGCTGTCAAATGTAGTTAAGGTATATGCAATACATTTATTCCTTGAGAAAAAAACTGAGTGTCTCTATGGTTCAGAGAGGGAATTATCCACGATTTCAACTCTTCTTCTAATCTGATCAAATCTTTCATGAAATAGATATACCTTATTACTTATTCCATCCACAAAAAGAATTGGATTTTAAGCATCAACGTTTTATTTGTGTTTAAAAATTTATTCCATAAGAACTACTTCATTCTCTATTTACGTCAACGTATTTTGTCCCTAATATATACTCTAAAATTTGGGGGGAAATAAGATACTCTACCTTTGCACTGAGGTGGGTCTGTCCAGGTTCCATTCAAACATGTCACTTCTATTTCCCCAAACAGATCAAAAGGTTTGTTGCATTCATAACGTACTCTCTCCCCTGATGGATACCTAGGCATCTCATTTGGTATAACAGCATTTTCCACTTTGGGTGGTTTCTCACAGGAAACATCTGAATAGAAAGAAAAAAGTATCTCCAATGTAATGATCATTTTGAGTAGCAAATCAACAAATGAGATTCCAAATATATTTCAGAGGGGTTTAAAATCTGTCATAAAAGACTGCTAGTTTAAAAAAATTTACATGTAAGATTGAGGAAAAGGAGAGAAAGTAATATTTTTTTTGGTAAGATTTAAGCTTCTGCACCTTAAATCTCTCTCCCATTCTTCACTAGAGTGTTGATAGACATCCGTGTGTGTGTGTGTGTGTGGAGGCCAGTGAAAATGAGAGTTTGTCTGGACATTTCCCTTTGAGTTCCTTTTACATAAATTAAAAATGAATTTATAAACCACAAGAAAATCAAAATAAGAGATTATTTGATAGTAGGATTTGGTTTGCAATCATCCTGTTCATGAATTGTAATTTTAAGCCCCTAGAAAAATAAATACAAATAGATACTTCCTTAGAGAATAAATCAATCATGAACACACTTTGAACAATACCATAGCTGAAGGAAGAACATGACTATTCAAAGGATCCAAACAGGAGGTGTAGAAAATAACAGATAAATAACTGTATAATTTACAAAACACTCTCTAATGACTTTTGGGTGGCAAATGCTTAAGGATACTACAATGAGTTATGTGTAACTCATCAGTGAGATTCAGGTGGATATAAAGTGTAATTGGCTATAGCTATGGTTCCTAAACCAAAGTATGCATCAAATCCCTTGACCCTAGAGTCTTTGATTCAACAGGTCTGACTAGGCCTGTGAATTTGCATTTCCATTTCTAGCAATTTCCCAGGAGATGCTGATGCTGCTACTCCAGGGACCAAACTTGAAGAACTATCGGGCCACAAGACTAACCATTGAGTACACAATTCCATCCTGTTATGTTAAGACATAAATCCTCAGTGCCTAAAAACCTGGCCTGAAAAAATCATCTATGTCCATTTTATGATGATGCTAGAGGCAATTCTATTTTATATTACTTAAGACACTTGCATAAATAAATTTAAAATTTCATCGAATTACCTCTGCATGTTGGCCTTCCTATCCATTTGCCGCTAATACACTGGACAATACTGGATCCATCCAATTGCTAATATTTGGGACATTTATAAGCCACTTGTTCTCCTGACCTATATGACTCCTTCTTCTTGCCTATGAATATAGCATCATCAAAGCTGGGTAAGCTAAAACAATCCGTTTCAATGCTTTGCACATACTGTTCCTTTGGTTTGGAACACTCTACATCCACTCGGTTTTCTACAGATTCAAACCCTATTTCCATCCCTGGAAAACAGACAGCTGATTGGCAAATATAAAAGAGATTCCTGTAACACGGGACTTTTCAAAGTCAGAAAATAAAAAGTTCTTCTCAGCACCTGCAGAAATTAACACTCACGGTGGGAGAGGTAAAACTGAAACAGAAGCAAAATACCTGAGTAACTTCTATGTAACTAATTTTGGTAATGAGCGCCCAGTTTCAAATAATATGAAAGTTTGCATTTGAAATAACAAAAACAATTATAGTTTTATCACAAATCTATGATACATATGGCCCATGGGAAACATTACTTTAAAGCCCGGTGTTAAAGGTAGATTGTTATCTCCGGGCTTCAAAATAACCTCTGCTCCAAGTTTTTAATAAATCAGAAGGTGACACCTTGATTTTAATCATTATTCCTTCAGAACGAATCTTGATAATTCAAATTTTTCACAAATTAATGTTAATTTTGTTCATCTTGAACAAAAGAATACCTGAAAAAACAATTCTTACCATAACATGTGGGTGTATCAGACCAGCCATCGTTACCACAAACTATGGAACCTGTGGTGCGTCCATCTCTGCTCTCATAGCCATCACGGCACACGTAGTCCAATCTGTCATTGAGCTTAAACCGTGTTCTACCACTTTTGGCTCTGGCCTTCTCAAATAGTGGCATATCACAAGATTCTAACGCATAATAGAATGGAAGATTTCCTTTCTAATATTATTAAATGAACAATCTGAATGAGTACATCCCATACCAATGGGAAATAAAAGACTGTATCGATTAGTATGTGCTGATAAATTAAATATCATATGGAAATAATCTGAGAATGCTGGTGATAAATCATGTCCTGAATTTGTTACTCAAAAAGGGTTTCTACATAGCATTTTCCTCATCATTTATACTCTCTGAAAAATTTATTTTAAGAATATTTTTCTCAATTCAATTATACTCATGTTTTTATCCCATGTTAGTAATAACATAGGCCAGTACATTTTTTAGCAAAGCAGAATAGCATTGTGTAAATTAAGATGCCCAACTTATTAGCAGTCATGACATGTATGCCAGAGAAAATGGATTAGTTGAATTAAAAGATTAATTTTCAGAAATGCAAGTAAATTTTTTAAATTTCTATAAAACTCAGCCTTAAAACATTCTAATTTTTAAGGCACAAACGCTGATTTTGCTTTCCCAAATATTTTCTTAAATGCAGTGTGTTCTTTTATACTTATCAAGATGGAATGTAGAGAGAGTTCTACTGCTTATAATTAGTTATAAAAAAGTAAATTGTTAAAAAATAGTCTCAGTTTTCCCTAACATTATACTAGAGTGATGTTAATAAAGGTTTAAATAATTTATCTCAAATTTTATAATGTGTTATGAAACCAGCTAGCTTAAGATTGAAAAAAAAGAGGGCAAAACTAAAAACATCCTAGTAAAAATGTATTTAATAGAGACATTTTCTCTTCCATGATAAGAGTGTTATAATGCATAGCTCATCACAATTTAGTATAAAATGAGTTTAATATGGAGGCAACTTTTCTCATTTTTTCTATGCCTAGTGCCCATAGTAAGCAAAGAGATATTAAAAAGATGAAATGAAAACAGCAAAAATGGATATTTTAAATATCCCTTGAACTTAAAGTAAATATGTTAAATATCATGTCAAAAAATGTTATTGTGTGGATTTCGGATAATAAGATAAACTGAGCAAATTGTTCTTAGAAAATCTTCATATACATCTAGGTAATGGGACAGGGAAATCTTTCAACACAGGAAAATTTGGTACCATCTAGAAGTGTTTCTCAGTCTCTACTAATAAGATGTTTAGGAAGATTTTCTAAGGGAGAGGATTTTTCAGAAGTGGTCCTATCCTACAGTATAAAACAAATAAATTATAAATAGTCTAAGATTATGCATTATGAACCTATGTCTTCACTTAAAAAAATAACTCTCATGTCTAGCAGCAAAGACTGAGACATGAAAGTCTGATCACCTTAAAGCACGTACAACAGGTGCAAAGGTCTAAGCTAATAATAAATGAGTTTACACCAGAATACACATAAGAATTCCTAAGTAGTTTTGAAATCACAGAAGGTCTTAAAGAGGGAACACTTGAACTGAAAGATGCACTCATATTATACCCCACCAGTAATTAATCTTAAAAGGCAAAATAACATATATTCTCCTCAAAGTTCTTTTATTTGTCTTTTCAAGTGGAACCACCTCAGACCCCCAAAAAAGAATTAAAGTAAACTTGTGTACAACGATCATCAGGATGAAGAATAAGAACATAGTCCATTACTTACTAATGCATGTGGGCTGAGCTGACCATCCACTATGCAGACATGTAATTGATCCTGATGCTCTACCACCTGCTGTTACATATCCTGGTTTACACTTATATCGTGCTCGTTTATTTAAGGGATATGTAAAGTCAGATTCAGAAATAAATCCATTCGCAATTTCTATATCTGATTTTGAACATGTTTCTAAAAGGGAGAAAGCGTAAGGAAAAGACAAGTATATGTCATTTGTAAATGATAACCTGGAAACATCCTAATCATCCAAGTTCTTGTGCAGGGAAAATAGACTATGAGTTTCCAAAGATATTAAATCAAGATAATTTATTCAAATTTGAGGGGAACAAAACTAGGTTTAAAATACTCAGAATCTCTTCTAAGAAATTATGAGAAATCTGTTGGTCTAATGGATCTAGATCCCACAGTGTGCCAGAGCTCTCCTAGTAATGGGTCCTTTCCTGGGACTTGTGTTCAATATTGCCTAATTTGGATCTCTTAAGCAACCCCAGAACTCAGTTAACCACTTGAGGTATCTCAGATCAGGTGATGATCTCAGAGAATCTTCCACCAGAGCAACAACAGCCTTTGGCTCTGAGATTTTGAAATGTTGATCATCATAACTGGGTGCTTAAAACTATATGGATATAAGGAGTTCAAAGAAGATGACAAAGATCAACACATTCATTGATCTTCGAAGGCCAAAATGATGATTCCTTAAGTTATGTACAAGTTCACTTGAAACAGTAAAAGTAGACTTTTGTCCTTTACTACGTCTCTGCACAGGACTCAGCTTCATTTATTCAATAACCCATGGATAAAGAAGACAGCAAAAGAGAAAACATTAAGTACTTTTAACTGAATGATAATAAAAAGATGTTAAATAAAATTTTGTGAATTGATACTAAGGTAGTGCTGAGAGGGAAATTTTACCATTAAACAGCTATATTAGAAAAGAATAAAGACTGAAAATCAAGAACCGTTTCCACTTTAAGAAATTAAAAAAGAAAAGCCAACAAAACCCAATATAAGTATAAATTTGAAAAAAATATAGAAAAGTTAGTAAGATGGTGGAATAGGATGGCTCGACCTCTCTTCCCCACACACAAACTGAATTAACAGCTACAGGTGTATCAATTCCCTTTATTAGAAATACAAATCTGGTTGAGACATTCCTGCAGACAAGGCAAGTGAGAAAATGGTAAGTGGTAGGAGAAACTGCAATACAGTCTCATCATAAATCCCACCCCTGGCACAGCACCATCCAGCTGGGAGGGAATGCCCAACTCACAGCTTCTCCTTGAGGAACAAACGGTTGGAACCCTACATCTTGTGTCCCAAGTTTCCAACTGCTACTCCAGGATCTGGCTTCTAAGTCGCCTGACTGGGAGGTAAAGGGCCCAACATATGCTAGTCTCCCGGGGACTACAGAGGACCAAGTGTCAGTTATGAATGAGTGTGCGAGCACTTCTCACAGTTCCACCCCCAGCCGAGTGTAGAGGGAGCAGATCATAAAGCCCAGCACCCAGTTCCCCATGGAAGGAGTTAGATCACGCATCTAGACCCTCAACTTTTCCAGATGCTGCCTCAAGAACTGACTTCTAACTAACCTGTCTCTGAGAGCTGACGAAGACCACAATTGGCTAGATGCCTAGGGGCTCCAGAGAGCAAAATAATGGCTTGACAGAGCATGCGGTTTGAAGGAGTGTGCATGCATTGCCACAACTCCTCTCCCCACCTCAGTGCAGAGTGAGTGAAATGAGAAACTCCGGCTCCCAGCCTCACCCTGAGTAGAGAAAGAACTGGACCACACATCTAGAACCTCAAATTTTCTGGCTGCTTCTTGAGGGCCTGGCTTCTATCTTGCCTATCTCAGGACACTGATGAGACTTGGCTTACTCTAGACTCCTGGGGAATGCTAAGTAAAAAGACAGCCGGTTGGCTGAGCACAGAGTTTTGGGAAACACCCAGAATCTCTGTCTGGGCCAATGATGATAGATTCTTCTACAACCAGGAGGAAGACAAGTGTGCCCACTCGCACCACTTTTGTTCAATATGTACTGGAGGTCCTAGCCAAGCAATTAGTCCACAAAAAGAGGTGAAAGGGGTAAATGGGCACAAATCTACTACAGTGATGGATGGCAACTAGACTTTTGGGGGTGAACACCAGGTAGTTTATACAAAAGTTAAAATATAATAATATACATCTGAAATGTTTATCATGTAATAAACCAGTCTTACGTCAATAAGAAATGTAACATTAAAAAATTAAAAATTTAAAAAAGAAATAAAAGGCATCCAAATTAGGAAGGAAGAAATAAAATTATCTCTCTATGTAGATGACATGATCTTATACGTAGAAAATCCTACAGATTGAACAAAGCTGTTAGAACTAATAAACAACTTCAACAAGTTACAGGAAAAAAAATCAGCATAGAAAAATTAGAAACATTTCTACACACTAACAACAAACTATCTGAAAAGGAAATTAACAAAACAATCACATTTACATTAACAAGAGAAAGAATGTAATGCTTAGGAATAAACTTAACCAAATAAGTGAACAACTTGTACACTGAAAATTATAATACATGAATGAAGGAAATTAAAGAAGACAGATAAACAGAAAGACATCCAGTGTTCATGGATTGGAGTCTTCAACATTGTTAAATGTCCATACTACCCTAAGGGACCTACAGATTCAATGCAATCCTACTCAAAATCCCCATGGCATTCTTTACGGAAATGGGAAAAACAATCCTAAAATTAATAGGTAACTACAAAAGATCCTGAATGGCCAAAGCAATCTTGAGCAAGAACAAAGCTGAGGATATCACACTTCCTGATTTCAAAGTATATTACAAAGCTACACTAGTCAAAACAGTATGTTACTCGCATAAAAACAGACAAATAGATCAATGGAAAAGGACAGAGAATCCAGAAATAAATCCACACATATACAGTCAACTGATCTTCATCCAGCGTGCCAAGGACACACCCTGGGGAAAGGTGTTCCTTCAACAAACAGTGTTAAGAACACTGGATACCCAGATACAGAAGAATAAAATTGGGCCCTTATCTGATACCATATACAAAAATCAACTCAAAATTACTGTACTGCTGTCAATTTCTCCTCTTCAAACCTGTCAATGTTTGCTTTATATGATTAGGTGTTCAAATGTGAGGTGCACATATGTTTAAAATTGTTACACCTTCCTGTTGAATTGACTTTTTTATTATTATATAATGACCTTTGTCTCTGGAGACAGTTTTGGACATAAAGTTAAAATTTTTGATATAAAAATAGCCACTCCTGCATTCTTTTAGTTGCAATTTGAGTGAAATATTATTTTCCATCCCTTCACTTTTATTCTAGTTGTCTCTTTAAGTCTAAAGTGAGTCTTCTATAGATAATACATCATTTGTTCTGTTTTTGTAATCATTCAGGTACTCTATTCCTTTTAATACTTGAGCTTAATCTATTTACATTTAAAGTAATTATTGATAGGTGAAGATTTACTTTTGACATTTTGCTACTTGTTTTCTGTTTTGCAATAGTTTTTTCAATCTCTTCCCCATTTGATGTCCTCCTTTGTTATTTGATTATGTTTTGTAGATATTTGCTTTGACTCTTTTCTCCTTATCTTTTGTATGTCTATTACAGTTTCCCTCCCTAGCTTTTTGGAAATATAATTGACAAAATTGTATATATGTAAAGTGTACAGTGAGATGATTTGGTACACATATAAGTTATGAAATGATTCTAAAAATCAAGTTAATTAACACATATATCACCTCATATAGGTATCATTTTGTTGTTGTTGGAATGCTTAAGAGATAGTCTTAGCAAATTTCAAGTATGTAATACATTATAACTAACTATAGTCACCACGCTGTGCATTAGATCTCCAGAATTATTCATCTTATAACTGAAGGCTTACACCCTTGGATCAGCATCTCCCAATTTCCCCCCCTCCCCAGCCCCTGGTAACTACCATTCTACTCTCTGTTTCTATAAACTTGACTTTTTCTTTTTCTTGCTTCTTTTTTGGTTCCGCATATCAGTTTTATCAAGAAGTATTTGTCTTTCTCTGGCTTATTACGCTTAACATAACGTCCTCTAGGTTTATCCAAGTTGTAAATGGCTGGATTTCCTTCTTTCTCATGGTTGGGTAATATTCCATTGTATATATACATACCACATCTTCCTTATCTGTTCATCCATCCATGGACACTTGGATGTTTCAATAGCTTGCCTATTGTGAATAATACTGCAGTGAATATGTGGGTGAAGATATCTCTTCCAGATACTGACTTCATTTCCTTCAGAAATATAGCCCAAGTGGGATCATATGACAGTTAACTTTCTGAGGAACTTCCATGCTGTTTTCCACATAGCTGTAACAAATTACCTCCCCACCAAAAAATGTACAAGTATTCCCTTTGCTCCACATCTTCACCAGCACGTATCTCTTGTCTTTTGGATAAAAGCCATTCTAACAAATATGCGGAGATAGCTCCTTGAGATTTTGATTTGCATATACATGATCATGAGTGATTTTGAGTACTTTTTCATGTACTGGTTTGCTATTTACATGCATTCTTCGGAAAAACATCTATTCAGATCCTTTGCCCATTTTTTAATTGGATTGGTTGTTTATTTTGCTATGGAATTGTATAAGTTCCCTATAATATTTTTTTATTAACCCCTTATCTGATATATGGTTTGCAAATATTTTCTCCAATTCCACAGGTTGCTTTTTCATTTTGTTGATTTGCTGAGCAGAAGCATTTTAGTTTGATGTAGTCCTATTTATTTATTTTAGCTTTTATTGCCTGTGCTTTTGGTGTCATATGAAAAAAAACATCGTTGCCTAGACCAATGTCCAGAAGATATTTTGTTACATTTTCT